AGGAGACACAGAAATAGTTCCAAAGGAAGATGTCCCAGGTCACAGCAAGAACAAGTGATAGAGCCAGGGTCAGAGCAGGGTCTCATGAACCCCTCCACATGGAACACAAACCTTACCCTCAGCGTGGTTCCTGACTCCTCAACACAGCTCAAGGACACGGTCAGCCAAGCGCTTGAGCTCAGTTCCAGCCGAGAACCAGTAATTCCCCAGCCAGCTGTAACTGACTAAGACTTACCCTACTTCTCAACAAAATCTACCAAGCTAGTGTTTTGGTTTTCATACTAACAAGTTGCAGTGTAACTAGGGCAACTTCTTGGAAACAGGGACACATTCCAAAGCATAACTGGATAGTTCTCAGAGAAGAGGATGACAGAATGCCCAGCTTCCCCAGGAACTAGAGAGAGATCCTTGAAGCCATGGATGATCTCTGCCCTTGAAGGTAAGTCCGAAGGGCTGCCGAGTAAATCCTCTTTACACACAAGCCTCAGCGGTTTATGTAAGACATTCATCTGGCAATACTACTCTGCCATATTCATTAAAGCAAAGAGACTTGAATTGTGCCAGGTCTTTGCATAGAAAGAAAGGGTCCCTTTTGGTGGATTTTTTTTAGAAGTCCTGGTCTCTTCAGAACTCATAGGGAAAATTTCATTCTACATATGACTGACTGTGAGCTCCATGCCTAGAAAAATCAGAATGCTCAGGCGTGTTTGATTAACCTGATCTAAACTATTACAATGTTTGCAGACATCTGCTCCATAAATATATACAAATCAGTAGCAGCAAAGAGAGGGAGGAAGAGATGGAGAAAGGAAGGATCTTGAGTTAGTCACCTTGCCTATGGCCCACCAGACCTAGCTTTCAGGGGAGCAGGGTATCTGGTAGACGCTACCAGCTTTGCAGGATTCCTGTAAGAATTTAGTGGACTCCAAGACAGTGAAGCCCATTGGACAATCATGTAGACTTGTGCCACTTACCCACCTTCCCGCCGCAATGGATCAACAAAGTCATTCATCCATTTCCTAACCGAAGCCTGGAGGCCGGCCTGCCCCATGCTCCATTATGTTGTCACATACTCGGCATCATCAGAGCTGGCACTGAGTGGTCACAGTAGTGCTGTTTGGAGAGATCTGCATGGATTCAATCAATCTCGAGAACTCTCTGAGGAAGCAGCTACTAATTAACCCCAGTTTGCAGATGGGAGACCTTAAGGCTTGGGGAATTTAGATAGTTCACTCAAGGTCACCACAACTCAAGCCCCACTCAACTGCATATAGCAGATTCTTCTTTCTATTTGTGAGATTATATTATAATTACATTTTTCTCTTCCCTTTCTTCCCTCCAAACCCTCCCACAAATCCCTCTGTGCTCTTTTTCAAATGTCGTGTGAGTGCACTTCTTAACTAAATCCTAGTAGAGATGAGAACTTCAACCAGAAATCGAAGGCCAAGAGTCACAGAGGGCTGTGTATGAGTGTGCGTGCAGGGCTGTGTCCCCTCAAAAGCATAGCAGAGTCACAGGTGCACGGTATCACAGCCACTGTTGTCAGCTCTCTGCTTCTAGCAGTGGCATGTGTGTGCTCCATCAAAGCCCGACGAGGCAGCACCGAGCAGCAACAGGTCCACTGTCTGCTCACTTTGGAGGCAACAGAATGTTACTGTAGGGAATAAGGAAGTTAGAACAAAATCTGATTGAACTGCCCAGCTACCTATGCAAACTTAGAATCATTTGTTCTAGGACTCATTCTCCTTAACTTGGAAAATATAGGCAATATCAATATCACAGGGATGGATGTCAAAAGATTAACTCCAAAAAAATTAAATAAAAAAATTAAAAAAAAGATTAACTCCGACTCATTTGTGAGTGGCTAGCACTATGTGTAGTGGGTTTGTGATCCCACTGTCAGAAATGTGAAGACAGGGCTCACCAGCCTAATGTACTTGAAAGGGTCCAGGCCAGTGAGAAAGCTTGCTTCACAAATCAAGGTAGATGGCCTCTGAATGAAACCCAAGACCTACAGCCCTCTTTTCTCCATGGACACTCACAGAAACACACATACAAGTACATACACACATACAAAGAAATACCAGCAATTCAATTAAAATCAACCTCTAAGTGCAGAGACTTCCCTTCCTCCTGTGCCATTCACAGCAGCAAGGAGTGGAAAGAGACCACAGGCCCGGAGGAAGCCAACAGCTGTGCTCACAGCACCAGATAGGCAGACCTGAGTCAGCTTTGGATCCATGCCCGGTTCTGTTGTTCCAATTTCTTGATGTTGCTGAGTCTCCATTTTCTTCCCCATAAATAGAAGGGATCCAGCCTTATGTTTTCTACATTCTCGCATAGCTTCTTCTCATCGAGTTAAGAAGCTAGGATACAAACTTTCTGAAAGATTATAACATCTAAATAAGAGTTTTCAGAGCTGATTCAATGACAGTCACCGAGTTAAAGATTTTGGGACACCTTTATTTTCAGAAATTAGTGCAGAACTGCTACTTTGTACAATAAAATATCAGCTTCCTGGAATGCCCTGAGATTAAATCATTTGTATGATTTGAAGCAAACAGAACGTTTTTCACCATACCTTACACTTGTGCAAGTTCTTTACACTTTTAAAAGTATAAAAAATATTAACAGCTCCTTCCCAGAGGAGCATTGTGGGACTAGCCCCAGTAATATTGTTAATAACACAGAGAAGACAGTAAACATGTGGTGTAAACACAATGGACTACTGCTTGGCAGAGGAAGGGAATACAACTGCAGCATCATGATCAAGTCCTGCAAGAGCTCCATGAGAAGAGCCATGCAATGGAGCGCTCCATGTGAGCACACCACTGCAGCAAAGGTCAACGGCAAGCACCATAAGTCAGAACGTGTTTACGGGTACATGGATAAGGAAGAATGCCTATTTTTTAAAAGCAAACATTTTGTGCTTACTTGCTTCTTTGGTTTGGATTGGTCTTGAGACAGGGTCCTGCTGGGTAACCCTGACTAGTCTAGAACTTGCTATGTAGACCTGGTCTTGAAGTTGAAGTAATCCTCTTGCTTCTACATATGAGTGCTAGGTTCCTGGGTGTATGCCTCTACATCTGGGTTGTTGTTATTGTTTTAAATTTTAGAATAATTGTTTTCAGTGAAATAGAGGCACAGAAGTGGAAGAAGCACACAGACTGATTAAAAGCATTGTAATCAATTCCCCAGGCTGGTACGTTCACCCATTTAATTGGGATTCTCTATAATTTACAAATACACATTGACATGTTACATATGATGGTGTTACATAACAACATTGAACTTGATGTCCACTGTCCTTACTCTTGATCCTGGATCATTGTCTTAGGAAGTTTTCCTTTCCTGTATGAACAGTAAATAGATTTCCTAGCCCAGATACTGACTAAGGTCAGTAAAATGGCACAGTAAGGACCCAAGGCCAAAAGCTGTAAACTTAATTACAGGAAGAAAGTCATCTGTAAAGGTTACTCTGTATCAGGGCTCCAAGTCAGGTGACAGAGGGTGTGGACCATAACAGCCCAGGACATGAGATGATGTGACATTCTGGTCTGACATCAGGCCTGGTCATAAGATGGTGTCCATACTAGAACTATTGAAGCATGTATTTTTCCACCTTCCGAGGCTACACAAGCTGTCTTTAGTTTGTGGCATGTGATGTGACAATCTCTGAAGAAGTTTGCTCTGGCCAGCACACAAACTATCACACACCTGGCTGTATATCTTAACTGAAACATATTCTAGAGGCTGAAGTTCAAGGGCATGGTGCCAGCAGGGTTTTTTCCTCTGAGAGCTCCTCTCATTGCCTTGTAAGCACTCTGCTTTTCCCTGAACATCCACAAGGTACTCCCACCATACCGGACCTAATCAGAACCACTTCTTTAAAGCCCCTATCTCCTTTGGCTGCCACATTCTGAGGGGCTGAAGGTTAAATTCTCAGTATGGAGGGACCCCAGTAAGACACCCCCAAATACTCCTTAAAGCCCTAGTATGGAGCCCAGAATGCACCCCATCCCCTGTGCTCCATACTAGGTCCCACAGCAAGGGCAGCTCTAATGGTGGCCAGGATAGCCCTAGGGATACAAGGTAAGACATTGCCTACTGCCCACTAAACAACAACCCAGATTGCATCAACTCCCCTGGTATCCATAACCCAGTTAATAACTTTGGAAGCTCGGGCTGAATCTAGGGGACCCAGGCCCCAAAAAACACACAGACACGCCCTACTGGAACTGAAGATTCACTGGTCACCAGAACCCTTGGCCACTTAGGCCAGAAGACCAGAGAGGAAAGAGAAAACAAGAAACAAAACACCCGTCCAACAAAGGCAAACACAGGAATCAATACCTAGACTTATAATCATTACAAATCAAGATCCCTAAATGCCAGTCTAAGGATACAATCAATAACAGAAAGGGCACTGTGGCACCACCAGAACCCAGATATCTGGGGTCATTAAAGTGATCAAGGTCCTTAAAAAAGAATTTTTAAAAAAAAATCCTTAAATTGAGGAAAAAAATTATTGACAACAATAAATTCCTAAGAGATTGCCAAAAAGAACAAAAAAAGAGAAAGAAAGAAAAAAAGAAAGAAAGAAAGAAAGAAAGAAAGAAAGAAAGAAGGAAAGAAAGAAGAAAGAAAGAAACCAAAGAGGTGAAGAAAACAGTTCAAGGCATGGAAATGGAAGTAGAAGCAATAAAGAAAGCACAAATGGAGAGAATCTTGGAAATGGAAAATCGCATAAGTGAACAGGAACTACAGATGAAAGCATCACCAACATAATAGAAATGACGAAAGAGAGAATCTCAAGTAATAAAGACACAGTAGAAAAAATAAATTCATCAGTCAAGGAAATGTTAAACCTAAAAAATTCCTAACATAAAATATCTAGAAACTCTGGAACACTATGAAAAGACCAAACCTGCCCTTGCACTCGGTCACGTTGAGCCGCGCCCGGGCCTCCACAGCCGCCCCTCGCCTCCCGCCTCCCGACCATGGATCCCCGCAAAGTGAGCGAGCTTCGGGCCTTCGTGAAGATGAGTAAGCAGGATCTGAGCGTCCTGCACACCAAGGAAATGCGTTTCCTGAGGGAGTGGGTGGAGAGCATGGGAGGTAAAGTACCACCTGCTACTCACAAAACTAAATCAGAAGAAAATGTCAAGGAAGAAAAAAGAGATGATAAGACAGAGGAAAGCATAAAGACGGATGAACCATCAAGTGAGGAGAGTCATCTAGAAATTGACAATGAAGGTGTAATTGAGCCAGACACTGATAACCCTCAAGAGATGGGAGATGAAAATGCAGAGATAACTGAGGAGATGATGGA